ATTAACAATGTTTGCTTTCGTTTCTTTTTCTTTTCTTTTTCTTTTTCTTTCTTTTTTTTTTTTTTGGTACTGGGGATCAAACTCAGGACCTTGCATTTGCCATGCAGGTGCTGTGCCACTGAGCTACATCCCGGCCCAATGTTTGCTTTTGGATGTGAGACTTGTGAGTTGGTGTTTTTCGTTTGTTTATTTGTTTGTCTGTTTGTTTTGTGGTACTGGGGATTGAAGTCAGGGCCTTCCCATTGAGCTTTATCCCCAGACCTTTTTATTTTTCATTTTGGAATAAAGTCCCACTAAGTTGCTCAAATGGGGCTTTAACTTGCCAGCCTCCCTCCACTTTACCCAGCTGTGTTTTTACTTTTTAATTGTAGCTTGCAATATTTTTCAAATGCTCTGTAATTAGCATACATTATTTCTTTTTTGTAATTAGCACACATTATTTCTACAACAAACTTTAAATCTTTTAAACAATACATATGCTCTTAATTGCTAAAGTTTTCAATCTCTGCCTGATTTTACTAATTCCAGAAAGACAATGAATCATGGCTCTAGTAAGCTACAATTTCCAAAAGGAAAAGAAAGAAACAGGGGCAAATATAATAATTCTGTCCTAGGATCTGATCTCTGATGGAGATATCCTCTGGATGCAAAACTGTACTGATGTCTTCAACTCCTCTCCACAGCACACCAGAAACTTACAGAGGGCTCTGCTGGCAGCAAGGTGTTACAGAATCTCCCAATCACTTGAGTCCCCATCTTCAGAGTCCCTAGAAGAGCCAAATCAGGGCCACCTTAAAATAGGAAAAGGAAGAAATGTGCAAATTTACAGAACGAGGGGGGAAAAATCTGAAAGTTAAACCAACCTAGTTGTGGTCATTCTCCTCCTCCAAATCTACCAGCTTAACTTATCTTGAAGTACAAGAAATAGGACCCTGGCTAGCCTAAAATCAAGCCTAAGATAATATAATCTCAATAGAACTATCATAGTGGCATTTTAAAACCTAGTTACTTAAGTTTTTCCTATCTTTTTCTCTTCTTCCTGAATTTCAAGGATTACAGGATAACAACACTAGGAGTTCTGCTTCTGGCATTTACCCTTTTCATCTTAAGAAATTCACCTTTAACACAAAAAGACAGCATTTATAATTTTAATACAGAATTCCGTATACAGAAGCTTGCATGTACAAAGCGTTATCAACTACATCATCTTATTCGACCCAGTGGTAAATAACCCTTGGAAATAGTTAAAACTTTCCCCCCAGCTAACATATAGAAAATAGGCTGGGGAGTTGCTCCAATTAGCGATGGAGGCATCCTTCAGTCCACTCTTATGAATCCACTTGCACTAAGTAGGTCTGTGCCATATAATAAGCCGGGATAGGGAAGGTAATGATGATGATCATAGTGGCAGCCACACACACACACACACACACACACACACAAACACACTTATGACTACATGATATTTGCTGTTGCAAGTGCTTTAAATTCTCACAGGCACTCTCTGGGATTGATATTATTACCAGTCTTCTTTTGTGTTTCCATCCCACTTTCAGTACCCTACCCATCTTCAGAGAATCAACCTTCTTAGGGACCAATCTAGAGGCAGAGATGTGGGGGGTGGATGGTGAACAGGCTGAGAAAGGGAAGTACGTTGCTAATGTCTCCAAGCTCTGAAAGTTTGAAGCGGGAACTACACACCAAGAATCTACCAAATTCTGAGCAAGAGCAGACCGTGAACCTTCCGCCTCATTCCCGTTATCCCACCACGTCCCTTCTGCATGTGCCCAGTTTCAATCTGGTTGCTCAACCATTGGTAATGATGTTTACCACTTACCCGCCACCCTTCAACACCTACCTCTTATTATCGGTCTGTCGGGCTCGACACCTGTCCTCAGCCCTTCTGGGCTCCGCTGCATTTACCTAGTCAGTGGCCGAAGCGTTCCCGCTGCCATGGCGACGCGGAGGCCGGCCTCAGCTTTGCGGGTTTCTGGCGGCTCACGCCAACCCTGGGGGGCCGTGACCCCGCCCCCTGGCTTCCAGACCCCTCCTCCGACCATCCGGGCCAGTCACCGGCCAGTTGGCACCTTGGCCCTGGGGACCTGGATCCCGCCTCCTGGGAGGCCCCGCCCCTGTCCCCTGGGCCGGGCTCCTCACTGGTCTGGACCCCGCCCACAGCTTTAGCCGGTGGCGACCCGACCCGCTGCAAAACCTCGCCCCAGAAAACGAACCAGGCCAGCTCCTCTCGGCGTTTATTGATTCTAGCAGCTCTGGGCAGGCAAGAGCTAAAAATCTGGCCAGCGGGGGTTTCGGGCTGTTTGGCTGTTAGTATTGGTCGCCAGTAGTCGGAGACGGGTTCCTTCATGTCTCAGTTCCTGCCTCCATTTGTCCACTTAGGTCTGGAACCCTTGACTCAGCCACTGAAGAAATTGCCCAAGCCAGAAGCTGGTTGCAAACGTTCAGAATGCTTTTCCAGAGTACTTCCTCTTCAGCACTGGAGTTTAAGGTGTGTAAGAGGGACATCATCAAATAAAGCCTAACACTGTCAGCTCAGGTGCAAGTATGGCAACCTGTCTGCACTTGAGAAGCTAGGGGTCCGAGACCTACCTTTTAGCACAATCCACCTAGGGTCGTTTGTGTGTGTGTGTGTGTGTGTGTGTGTGTGTGTGTGTGTGTGTGTGTGTGTTTCACCTAGGATCGTTTTGTAGAACTCCATCCACAACATAGCTAACCAACCACAACTCCCAAGATAACAGTGGCAAATAAGAGGGCTAGGAGTCAGAATGGGGACACCTGCAATTCCAAGTGTCCTTGGGTTCTTTAAGCTTGACATCCCTGGGGTGCCACCAAATTCCCCAAAGCAGTAGATTCTCCATACAGAAGTGGTTAAGATGATGGAAATTGGTGTGTCCTCCCCAAGACTCACACCAGAGTCCCATTCTTGCTGTCATAGCATCGTGTGGGCTGGGGGAAGTAAAGGGTCGCGTATTCTGTAGCGTTTTCTAACTGCAGGTGTTTCACCTCACTGGCAGAGCGTGGCTGGGTACGGCTGAACACTTGAATGTCTGCGTAATGTAAATTGTTCTCTTCCGATGTGAGGTCTTGACTCCTTTTCTGGGATACAGGCTTCTGTAACACCTGCTCATACTTGTGTCCTGTTAATTTATGGCCCTGCAAGGAATCACGGAATTAAGGAAGATTCTTGACTTAGTTTTGTTCCTCACCTCCAATGCTGGGCCAGTTAGACTGATGTCCCTTTGCTTTGCCCCTTTAGGGGTGGAGGAGGCCAGGCAAAACCAACACATTCTACAGATGACTGAAGTGTGTCTGTCTCAGGGTGAAAAACTGGGATCCCTTGTCTGAGTAGTCCCTTAGAGGGAATAACAAGCCTGCCATTACCTTTGTGCTATTCTGCCGTGGCTGTTGCTGCTGTCTCTTCAGTGTGCATCTTGCTTGGCTCCCTGCAGGGGAATAATACAACTTAAATCCATTCTCTCTTCTCTGTGTCTATGACACTGCCTTCTTCAAATCTCTATTAACCTACTGTGTTGGGCTTCTAACTTATCTCCCTGCCTCCATTCCCACTTCTTTCGGTTCTACTGTTCCTATATCCAATCTCCTTTGCAGAGTGAACGGTCCAGGCCTTTCACAATCTGGTCATAACACTACCCATCCTCATTTTTCACCAGCCCCTAAAGATAGTTCCACAAATACATATTGAGAGCCTATTACCTGCCAGGCTGTGTGCCGGGTTCTGTATAGATGGACGAGGAGTAGACTGTTTTCTCTGTCTTAGCTTAAAGTCTACTAGGGTAGACAATAAGTAAACAGACTGTTACCACAACACAATAGAAAGTGCTCAGCTACACCAATGTGCCACTTTAAGTAAGTCAGTCTCCCTTTGTAGGAGCTGATTCCTGTGCTTAAAATGTCCTTCTGTCCCTCTTCTGCTAACCTGTAAACTTGGTGTTAATGCTTTGACATCAGTTCTCTCATTCTCCAGCAGCATGAGTATACATCTCTTATAATACCAGTAGATAATACTTCAATTATTGCTTTAATTGAAGCAATAGTAAACAAACTGCTCAAACTTGATTTTCCGCTCTTCCAGGGCTGAGACCACTGGTCCTTGACCTTGAAACTCTGCCTCCTTGGGACCCCACAGAGTAGCATACATAAAATGTAAGTGCTCAGGCCCAGGGATTTAGCTCAGTGGTTCCAGTGCCTGCCTTGCAAGTGCAAGGTCCTGAGTTTGATCCCCGGTACCAAAAAAAAAAAAAATGTAAGTGCTCAATAGTATTTGCTGGATGAATGAAAAAAAAGAGTGACCAACCCTGCCACTCTGACATAATGAGAAAGATAGGACCCACTGGTCCAGGGTTGGCTTTGAACCCAGTAAACTGAAGATTCTCTTTGGTGTACTATGGCCCTTTATCCATCCCAAGGCCACTCCTCTTTTCTACTTTTTCACCCTTTCCAAAGATGTCAGTTCTATTATTGTCTCTTATTTGCCACTCCCCCCTCATCTTCCCTCCCCCTTAAAGTTACCTGCTTTGTTTTTGTTCTTGAAAGTTGATGGGCTGCTCCTGTGATAGGAAAAACAGATCACCCATGTGCAAGAGCTCTGGCCTCTATCTTTCCTCCTTCATTGTTTGCTTGGTGGTCTCAACATCTGGGATGACTTTCCCCCACTTCCCTAAAAATTTACCCTGAGCCAGGGTTAGCCCAGAAGCATTTGTCAAGGGTACCACGCTTCTTCCAGATGAATGGTTCTGGAGAGTAGAGTGGTACAACTGACATAACCAAACCCAAAATACAGTTTTAGGCAACAGTTCCTACATGCCAGGGATGTAGCTGGTTTGAGGGCTATTCTGGGATTGTCTAACAAGCTAATCCCAGCAGAGGGTAAGGGAAACCTTCCAAATAATAAGATACTCTTGGATCCAGAGACCCTCTTGTTTTTTTGTTTTGTTTTTTTTTTCAGTACCGGGGATTGAACTCAGGACCTTGTGCTTGCAAGGCAGGCACAGTGCCACTGAGCTAAATCCCGGGCCCCAGAGACCCTCTTGTTTCTCTTTGATGTTATTTTTGGGGGTCTTTGCCAACCCGGGACTTTCATTCTGGAAGTCACAGAAGCTGCCACAACGAGGGCCCTGCATAACCCTTTAAATAACCCCTCTGTGTGTGTGTGTGCTTCCCTGTGCTTGTTTTTAATTAGCAGAGAAAGTGAGAGATATTTAACCTTTAATGTCCTTTGGAGCACTTTGTCTACAGAACAGGAAACACTGAATTTGGCGAATGACTCAGCTATCCTGTTCTCAGTGCACAGCAGACCTCTAATGTTCATTTCTGGGCCCCTGGGGTCCTGAGTGGAGTCTGTGTGTCCCCGTGATTGTCAACAGTTTGATACCTAGAAAAACAATTCCAGTCTGAGGAAGTAGGCTGAAATAGTTTGAGACTTACTCTGGATGCTTTTTGTTGCTAGTACATTTCCAAATCACACCAGAGCTAACCCTATGTATGTCTGATTTCTCCTCTTCTCAGAAAATTTCCTTTGTTTGCTAAATAAAGTGGAAGAAAGAGACAGACTTTTAACTTTTGTTGACTGTATTACTGAAAGGAAAAAAATGAGGATTTCCTCACATTATGTTTGAGAGAGGTCCTGGTGTGATTTTTGATTGCTGTGCAGCCTGCAGAGGTGAAAGCAGTTAGTATCCATCCAAATGCTCCAAGTGGTTCAGCAAAAAATATTTTTAAAAATTTAAAAAAACTTCTGTGTCCTTTAGATTGCTCCTCTGCCACTTCAGCTCCTGCTGTGTGTTATAGCTATCTAGTCACAGCCTTACCTTAGGAGCTAGAGAATCTTCTAATTCCTTGCCCCTTGTCACTACTGTTTTCCTGCTTATTTCTGTTTAAATGGACAGAGAAAATATTAATTCTAAAATGTGTGATTAGGGCTATCCAATTTTAGTGAACAGAGTGTGTTCCCAAGTTGGATATTGTGCAATGCCTGGACACAACCCAGAGTACTCATAGTGTGACAAATTATTTTTAGATCAGAATTAAGGAAATTAAATGGACACTGCTACAGTGATAGTAAGAATAAAAATTGACACAATCCTTCTAAAATGCAATTTGCAGTAAGTATAAAAAGCTTTGAACATAAATGTGTATACTCTGATGTGTGGATTCATATCCTAAGAAATAATAAGTGCAAATATGGATATTTATTATAGCATTATTTATAATATCAAAAGATAGGAAATAACCAATACTTGGCAACTGACTGAAATAATGGCATATCCAGTCAATGGAAAATTTTTTTTTTTGGTACTGGGGATCAAACTTGGGACCTTTTGATTGCGAGGCAGGCTCCAGAACCACTGAGCTAAATCCCCAGCTACCCAGTAAATGGAAAGTTATGTAGAACTTAAAAAAGGATGTTGGAAGAATACCTCATAGTATGGAAAATTTTAATTTTCATGAAGTTATAAGATGTTTTGGGATAAAAATTTGGACATTTAAAAATAATATGAGGACCAGGGATATAGCTCAGTGGCTCCACCACCTGCCTCACAAGTGCAAGGTCCTGAGATCAATCCCCTGTACCAATAAAAAAAATAAATAAAATAAAATAAAAATAATATGACAGGCCAGGATGTAGCTCAGTGGCACTGCGCCTGCCTCACAAGTGCAAGGTCCTGAGTTCAATTCCCAGCACCAATAAATAAATAAATAAATAAATAAATAAAAATACTATGACAATGTACTGGGCCGGGGATTTAGATCAGTGGTGCCACACCTGCCTCACAAGTGCAAGGTCCTGAGTCAGATCTCCAGTACCACCAAAAAAAAAAAAAATTGTTAAAAAAATTATGACAATGTACTAAAATGTTTCTGTCATCTCTGCGTACTTACATTTATGATTGCTCTTTATTTTCTGCATTTGAATATTTTCAAATGTTTATTACTTTTTGTTTGTTTGAAGCAGGGTCTCCCTTTGTAGTTCACACTGGCCCTGAGCTCAGTATGTAGCCCAGGCTGACCTCGAACTCTCAGCAATCCTCCTGCCTTGGCCTCCAGAGTGCTGGGATTATAGGCATTCGCCACCACATGACTGGCATGTTTATTACTTTTTAACCGAAAAAAAACCAACAACAACAAAGAAGCTGGGTGTGGTGGTGCACACCTATAATATTTGAACTCTGGAAGTATGAGGCAGGAGGATCCTAAATTTGAATACACCCTGAGCAATTTAGCACCTTACTGAGATCCTTTCTCAAAAATAAAAAAGGGCTAGGATGTAGCTCAGTGTGAAGGGCCTGGGTTTAATCCCTAGTACTGCCAAAAAAGGAAGAAAGAAAAGAAGGAAGCAAAGAAAGAAAAGGAGCATGTTACAATAAAAATCTTCAGTTGGGGCCCGGGATGTAGCTCAGTGGTTCCGGTGCCTGCCTTCCAAGCACAAGGTCCCGAGTTTGATCCCCGGTACCAAAAAAACAAAACAAAACAAAAATCTTCAGTTGTCATAGTATCTTGAAGTCTCCGGTGGTTTATTGAGATAACCAAAAATAAAGAACAATTTTTGTCCAATCCTAAAAAATATTTCAAGAGGAAAAAAATAATGTTGATTAGAATGTCTGGCATAGTGTTTCTAGAATAAGCTCTGAGTCAGTTGACCATGTCTGACTAGCTGTGAGAATTTCAGCAAGTTTGTTTGCTTTTTGTTTGTACTTCGGATTGAACCTAGGGCATTCACACTGAGATACAACCCTGCCTTTTTTATTTTTTATTTTGAGACAGGGTCTCACTAAATTGCCCAGGCTGGGCTCAAACTTGTGATCTTCCTCCCTCACCCTTCCAGAGTGCTGAGATTACAGGTGTGTGTCAGCAAACCCAGCATTTCAGCAAGTTTTTAACTCCTTTGAGGCTCCATTCTCTTACTAATAAAATGAAGGCTGTACATGGTGGTGCACACCTGTAATCCCAGAACTCTGGAGGCTGAAGCAGGAAGATGACTGAGAGTACAGGGCCAGACTGGGCTGCATAGTGAGTTCAAGGTCAGCCTGACCTACATAGCAAGACCCTGTCTCAAAAAATCAAAATAAATAAAAAAAATAAATTAAGATGATAATACTGTCTAAACATTATGGGATTATTGTAAGGATTAAATAAAATAGCAAATGTAAGCAACTGTAGTCCCTTACCTACATTGAGCATCAGTAAAAGTTGACTACTATGACTAGCAATAACTATCATCATCCAAGAACTAATCAATAATGAAGAATGCAACACTAGGGAAGAAAGGAAGCAAAAGAAGCTTGTTATATCCCCTTTTCTAGAAGCTTTTCTGTGTTTCCATATGTCCTATACTGGACATCTCTGAGTTTAGAGTTTTGGGTTTTTTTTCAGTTTTCACAGTATTCTAGGAGATGCATATTTTTGTTCCCATTTTATAGATGGGTCAACTACAACTGAGCCATCTTACTCAAGAAGGCAGGAACCAAATTTCTTTCTTTTTTTTCTTTTTTTTACCAAATTTCCTTTTATTACTGTCTTCTGCATCTATCACTGTACCTGGTTCATAAAACATATTCAATAAATGTTTAATAAATGGATAGATGAATGAGTAGTAGGGACAGGACTTTAATCCAAAGTACTGACAGCAAATCCTGTGTGCTTTCCAATGTACCTCACTTGGTTCCCTAAATATAACAATACTTAATTTATAAACAAGGCATGGTCAGGATCTGCCCCACATGGGATGGTACAGCTAAAAGGCAGAAGAGACAGGACAAAGCTAGGTGGTAATGAAAACTCTAGGAAAGGGAAGTTACAATACTACAAATAATTTATTATAGTATTTATACTGTATCCTTTGCTCTTCAAAACAAACATGGGATCTAAACAGTAGAGATTGTGTTAATCTATATATTATGTATAAAGATACAGAGAAGCTAAGAGATTTGCCTGTCACATAGAAAATAGGTGTAAAAGTTATATTCACATATTCCATGGAAATTCTCCTTCCCACTTGTGTTTTTTTTTACCCCTTGTGGTACTGAGGACTGAACCCAGGACCTTCACATCAAGCTACATCTAGCTCTTTTAAAAAAATTTTATTTTGAGGACCAGGGATTTAGCTTAGTGGCACCATGCCTGCTTTGTAAGCACAAGGTCCTGAGTTTGATCCCTGTTACCAAAAAATAATAATAATAATAAAATTTTTATTTTGAGACAGGATCTTGCACAGTCCCTAAATGGCCTAGGCTGGGCTCAAACTTTAGATCTTTTACCTCAGTCTCCCAGGGGTCTAGGATTACAGGGATATACCACCATGACTGGCCTTTCCTTCATCCTTTTTTTTCTACCAGGGATCGAACTTGGGACCTTGTGCTTTCGAGGCAGGCAGGAGAACCACTGAGCTAAAACCCCAGCCCTTTTCATCCTTTTAAACAAACATTTTTCTAAAGCTGATTTGCTTGATCTGCAATTACTTACTGGTAAAAGTATGGGCTGCAAAGTCAGGCAGGCCTGGGTTGGAATCTTACTTTACGTGCTTAGTAGCCATGTGACACTGGGGAAGTTAGTCAACTTCTCTGAGACTCCATTTTTTGGCTGGCTATAAAATGGGAAGAGGAGAAGAGTTTAACAGCACATGCCTGTGATCCCAACCCTCTGGGAGGTTGAGCCAGGAGGATCAGAAGTTTGAGCCCAGTGTGGGCAACTTGGTGAGATCCCATCTTAAAATAAAAAGTAGGGCCTAGGATTTAGCTCAGTGGTGTCGCTGCCTGCCTTGTAAGCGCAAGGTCCTGAGTTCGATCCCTGGTACCAAAAAATAAATAAAAGTAAAAAGTAAAAAATCGGGTAGGGATAGGTACAATCCCTGGAACCACAAAAATAAATAAGGGCCGGGCTGGGGTGTACCTCAGTGGCACCATGCCTGCCTGGCAAGCTCAAAGTCCTGAGTTCAATCCCCAGTACAAAAAAAATTAATAATAAATAAATAGACAAATAAATAAATTACGGATAAGACCACTTAAAGAAAGTGTTGGGAAAATTAAATGAGAATGCAGAGTGCCTGGCACATAGAAAGCTCTCAAATGCTGCAAATATTATTATCACCTGGGGAAGAAGAAAAGGAAGAGATGGGAAAGAGAAGAGCAAAGAGAAACAATGCCAATTCACTATTCCAGCCCTGCCCTGGTAGCTCTACAAACAGCTGGCATTGCTGTGTTTTCTGTGGTCTTCAGAAAAGGGATAAGCACAGGAAGGAGTTGCTACTCTGGTCTTGGAACCAGGAGGTGCCAGGCAGAGGAAGGTAGCAGTGGGAGGCACTGACTGTGATTCTTGGGGCTCCATGTCCACCAATAGAGCCTGTGCCCTCCGCCCTTCCATCCTACTCACCAACTTCCCGCACAGCAGAGCCGGTTTCCCATGGCGCTCTGTTTCCCAGGGAGCCCAGCTGTCTTTCGACATAAAGAGGCTTGTGCATTTCCTGCTTCCCGGTTTAACTTTCCTTTTCAGCTCCCAGAGATCCCTGTCAGTGTCAGATTTCAACCTAACAGGTTGGACTTTGGAAGGCACCTGCTGGAATGATTCCCAGCTGACTGCTTCTAGCCAAATGGTAGAGCCACACACATACATGGGCTCCAGGTGAGAAAGCTATCTCACCTTTGGGATTTGAAGCTCCTTTTGATGAAGCCATGAACTTTGAGCTTAAAGCCTCAATTTTTTATAAAAGAAACTAGAGACAGAAAAGGACTCTGCGTTTCCATAGGAAATGTTTCTCTGCTACATCACACTGTCTTTGAAATATATCCTCCGTAGTGGAGTAAAATATCTTGCCTTATGTTTGTCCAGCAATACCCAAGGTTGGGTTTCACTCTCCAGGTAATTAGTACCAGTATGAGCTCTGTCCAGAATCTGGGTTTAAATACCAGAGTCTCATGGAACCTGAAATTTACAGAAATAGATTCCTTCTGTATTCTCCCTTACTTTTAGAACTAATGTGGGCAGGGCTGGGGATTTAGCTCAGTGGTTTTGCCACCTGCTTCACAAGTGCAAGGTTCTAAGTTCGATCCCCGGTACTAAAAAAAAACAAAGAGAACTAATGTGGGCAAATAGCTTAAAACTTTAGTGGCTATGTTTCTAGGATTGTAAAGTGAAAGAACTAAATTTATTATCTCATCCTCCTTTTGGTATAAAACCAGATGATTGTATAGTTAGAATGGCCTCAGCACTTCTTGACCACTCACTGTCCCATCCTCTGTTCAGTACTACAAAATCTCATCCCTCCACTCAGCTTTTTCTTCCAATGATCCCAGGTTAGACTCATTGCACACTCACCAGCATCTAGCAAGCAGCTGAACAAATTGCCCTGTAGAAAAAATGGGCTCTATGGGCCGGGGATTTAGCTTGGTGCCTGCCTGGCTCTAGAAGAATTGGTATAACGCACAACTCTTGTTTGGGGCTCTCACCTCCTCATTATGTCTTTCTCAAATGCCCATACTCCACAGAGTACCTTGGCCTCTGAACAAATTTCTTAGAAAAATTGGGGATAAGAATGACAACCTTGGGCGGGGGATTTAGCTCAGTGGCAAGGCACCTGCCTTGCAAGCCCAAGGTCCTGAGTTTGATCCCCAGTACTGAAAAAAATAAAAAAGAATGACAACCTTATAATATTATTGTGAAGATCAAATAAAATGCATGTAATAAAGCTCTAGTCTAGGGCCTAATGAATGAAAAGCTCGCAGTAAATCTTAGCTATTTTTGTTATAATTATTACTTTTGTACTTATCTAATTATCAGATGATAAAGCATCTTATTTATCTTCTACCCCAATCATTGTTCAAGCTTCTCCCCTGCAAACCTTTTTGTACTCCGCCCTTAGCTGTATTCTTTTCATCTTTTTACCTTCTTCCCCACAGCTCAAAAGCCATTGATAATTTCCTGTTACCTGTAGGGTAGAGTTCAAATTTCTTAGCCTGACACTCAAAGCCTTCCAGAATCTGGTTCCTTTCTCGTCACTTCTGTAATTTACAGAAAATCACCTTAGAGATTTTTAGATGACAAGAAGCTCCACAGAAACCAAGAGTGCATTTGTGGTAGAAAACTTTTTTTTTTTTTTGGTACCAGGGATCAAACTCGGGTCCTTGCAGTTTCGAGGCAGGCGCCGAAACCACTGAGCTAAATCCCCGGCCCATGTGTTAGAAAACCAGTGTGCCTTAGATAGCATTAGTAGGACTGTAGAGTAGTGAGTAAAGGGACTAATTATTCCACTGAAATCTGTACTAGTCAATCAATGGCTGGGATAATAATATAAGGTCTATATGCTGAATTTCAGATGACTTTGTCAAATGTCAGTGTTCAAGAGTTGTCTAGGCAATAAATGGTGTGGAAAGCGCTAATAAGTGGCTGAAAGATTAGGCACAACTTGTCTGGGAAAAGGAAGCCTTAGAAGAGCAGAATGGGTATCTTTAAATAGCTGAAGATATTTCAAGTGGAAGATGGATTTTATTTGCTTTCTGAACACAAGCAGAACCAAAGTGCTGAAGTTACTGAAACGCAGATTTTGGCTCAATGGAAGGAAGAATTTATAAGATATGTCCAAAAAGAAAAAGGAGTAGGGGCCGGGGATTTAGCTCAGTGGTTCTACCACTTGCCCTGCAACTGCAAGTACCAGAGTTCGATCCCTGGTACCAAAAAAAAAAGAGAGTAGACTACTTTATGAAGTTCTAAGTTCTGTCATTTGAAATGTCTCAAGTGAAGTTGATTAATAACCTTAAAAGAATTTGAATGGTGTGGGGATTTGGATTAAATCAGAGATTCCCAAATTTTCTCTTGTTTAGAAATCTTTTCTTTTAGAAAAGCTCAGGGGCTGAGAATGTAGCTCAGTGGTAGAGTGCATGTGTAGCATATGCCAAGTCCTGGGTTCATCCCCAACCCAAAATGAATAAATAAGAGTGAACAAATAAGGTTCAATTACAAAACAGACTGGTGTGAAGCTGTTCTGGTTGAAGTCTGAGTAAAATTCTTCTTTTATTCTTATTCTTCTCAACCAGATGTTAAGATTCCTGAGCATATATAAGATGACTGCCATTTTTGTAATTTATATTTACAGTACATAGCCCCATATCATATTACATGAAGTTTGATTAATATTTACTGAGTGAATAAACAGTTGAATATAATCAATGTTATTTATCTGAGTTGTGCTTTTATTTTTAATAGAAATTAATCCTTTAACCAATAATTAAATTCCTTAAGGGAGGAATCTTACCCTGAGGGTCCACAAATCCTTGAAGGGCATGAATGGATTTCAAAAATTGTGTGAGAGGGGGCCAGGGATGTAGCTCAGTGGTTCCGCTGCCTGCCTCGCAAGCGCAAGGTCCAGAGCTTGATCCCCAGTACCAAAAAAAAAAAAAAGATACAATTAAAAAAAAAAATTGTGTGAGAGGGCTGGGGATTTAGCTCAGTTGTTCTGCTGCCCACCTCGCAAGTGCAAGGTCCTGAGTTCGATGCCTGATATCAAAAAAAAAAGAAGTATAATAAAACTATATGCAAAGGAGGATTGTCTGGCAATTACCATCACAATAAGAACCCTGGATCCCTGCATTTAGTCTTGGATCAGGTGGGGTAATACAGTGATTCCTGTCTTTTGGATGTTCCAAAATCAGAGACAAATGCTTTCTTAAGTGGGTTACCCCTCTGCAGGGGATGGAGAGGCTAGGGGTTCAGAGAGAATGATGGAGGCTTCACTATCTATGCCTCCATATATGCACACTCAATCCCTCAAATTAGAGACCATTTTAGTGGGCAGATGTTAGTATGGGAAAACAAAGCATTCACTCCAGGGATTTAGGCATCTCTCTCCAGCCAAAAAAACATTTTCCCAACCCCTCTCCAAAAAGGGCCAGACAGTCTGGAGACCCTTGTTTTTGTGTCTCTAATCACCAGCTCAGACAGGGCCCTCTCGGCTGTTTGGATGGCATATCCCTTTTCCCTCCCGGGATAATTCTCTCTTTTGTTGCATTGTGAGAAAATTATGGCTAGGAATTTGATCTGGAGTCAGTATCAGCTTCCAGGTATGATCTCAGCACCCAAGTGTGAGCTCAGGGTACTCTGACGTTGGGCACACATAACAGGAGCTTTTTGTCTAGCTGGCTATGACCTCCTTCTTCTCACCCATCCCATCTTCTAGGCCACAGAACAGTGAGCAGCACAAACAAGCCCCTGAGATTTGGGTTTATTCAGCTCCATCCAGAACTAAACCAAAGGCTATAACATGTCCCAAAGGACCAAACCATACATTGTGGACCTTGAGCATTTCCCGTCCCCCCAAAGATGCTGCTACCTCTGGGGTGGTAGGCAAGTGCTCGAATCACCAAGAGATCACCAAGGGAATTAGAAGGGATTTGCTGGGTGCTGGGTCTTTGGCAGTCAGGGCTCAACTCTGGCTGCCTCCTCCTCCTCCTCTTCCTCTGGTTCAGGAGGCGCAGGGAGCAGGGAGATGTAGACCTCATTGACTTCTGTGTCCAAATGTCGGCCACCCCTAGGGGCCTCCAGGTTAAGGATGCCATCATGGGAAAGAGCAGCACGAACTCGCCAGGGGTCGACATCACCAGGCAGGACATAGGTGCGGCAGAACTCTCGGGACACGAAGCCATGGCGGTCCAGTCGCTGAGGGTGCCGGGCAGACACCTCCAGCAGGTTGTCCACAGTCCTCACAGTCACCTCATCTGGGGTAAAGTGGCTCACATCCAGAAATGCCTGGAACTTGCCCTCACTGAGCCTAAGCTCCGATGCCCCTGCCCTGCTGCCCTCCCCAGATTGGGCAGCCCGAGGCCGGACATAGTAGCCATGGTAGAGGGTGGGGGTCAGGATCTCTTCTGGCAGGAGACCTGAGGGGCAGAGAAAGAGAAGGCCAAGAGGCAGGATGCGGGAAGATGAGGTGGACACTGGGATGGAATGAGAGATCAGGAGAGGCAGGAGTGGGAAGAGCAGGAGGGGAGTCTGAAGTAGGGAAGCAGTGCCAAGGGAGGCAGCTGGGAAGAGGAGGCTGAGGAACAAAAGGCGACAATGAAGGAGGAAAGCCAAACTGGGGCTGGGTGGGTTGAAGGGGAACAAGGAGGCATTCCAGGGCCGGCTAGGGGCACCTAACAAAGCATTGCAGGCCCCAAGTCTGTCCTTAGGTCAGGAGGAAGGGGACACAGCCCTGCTGGAGAGCTGAGGAGGGTGTCTGCGGTGGGAGATGGCTCACCCCAGGAGTTCAGTTAAGCCCCTAGTGGGGCGGAGGCCAGTAACGTTGGGAAGTCAGCCCAGAATTTCAGGAGGTGGGGGTGGGAGGCACGGGGTGGCATCCAGCTCATACCTTCTCCGAAGCGCTGCTCACCCAAGTGGCTTGGGTTGGCAAATTCATACTCAGCGGTGGCCGGGTGGGCATGTGGCACCGAGCGGCCAGACATGGCTGCAGTCACCCTGGTCCAAGGTGCAGCCCCAACAGGCGCAGCGCGACCCCTCCAGCTGCCCAGAGAACTAGGGCGCAGTCAGAGGCGGGGGCGGGGTCGACACCACCCAAAATAGTGCGGGGCCTCTGAGGGGGGAGGGCAGGAGCAGGGGCCCTGAGTGCGGCGACAAGGGTGTGACCAAGGCTGCCCAGACCCCCACTTCCCTCCCCCACACAGGCTTCAGCTGTCGCAGAGGGACTGAGAGGACTGACAGCTGGGGGTCCTGGCCCTGCAGTGAGCTGGAGAGGAAGCTGATGCTGCTGCAGAGGCAAAGAGAGGCTAGCTGAGACCCTCCTCACAAACAGTTGGCACATTTCCACATCACCTTTCCTCCTCAATTGCAGGCACTGTGCATCCTACTTCATAAAACACTCTGGATTTAATGTTATGCTGGCTATATAGTGTAAAAGATGCAAGAAAAATTTCTGCCCTTTTTGGGAGTAGCCTCTGTTCAAATTAATGTCAAAGTCTTCTCCTGAACCCAGGTCAACCCGGGGCATCACTTAAATGCCTGGTACTGACATATTGGCCATCATTGCACTCCTCCCAGGATCCACAAAGAGTTAATGTCCCCAGAGCCCAGCCTAGGAAGATTCCAGTCCCTGCCTAGGCCCAAGATAGTTGCTGGCCCAATTTCCCTGGCATGCAAGACTAGGGAGGAGAAGGAGGAGGAGGAGGAGGAGGAGGGGCACAGCCCTGCCTGCTTGGGATTCCTGACCCTGTCCCAGCCCCAGAGAACAGGGGTGGGGGAGAGTACCATTGGGTGTGGATGGAAAGCTAGTGAAACAAGATCATGACAAGTCATTGGCCAGCTCAGATGTGTTTGTGTTTCTCTTTTCTTAGCTCAGTGAGTACTGGGTATGTGTCACACTGCCAAATCCCCAATCACAAGTCTCCATGAACCAGCCATGAGCGAGTATAATAAAACCCCTGACATCACCATTCCAGAAGCTTCACAAGACTGCATATATAAGAGCCTGGCTGTAGCTGCAGCTGAAGGAGTTGACAAGCCAGCTGACCCTCTGCATTCACCTAGCCACCATGGACATCGCTATCCACCACCCCTGGATCCGCCGCCCCATCTTTCCTTTCCACTCCCCCAGCCGGCTCTTTGACCAGTTCTTTGGAGAGCACCTGTTGGAGTCTGACCTTTTTCCAACATCCACTTCCCTGAGCCCCTTCTACCTTCGGACACCCTCTTTCTTGCGGGTACCCAGCTGGGTTGACACTGGACTCTCAGAGGTGAGTGTCCCTCTGCCAAGACAGGAGCATCCTTCCTGGAATATCCTGGACACTTCCCCACCTGCTTTCCTTTCTTTTCTTCCCTGCCCAAACCATTTTAGGTACATATGTATCCATAAGGTTACTAGTACCTCTCTCCCTCAGAATCTTTTTATCTGATACTTCTCTGTATCCTATTTATTAATTTTTTTCATGTACAGTGAAGATCATCCTCTGTCTTCTAACCTTTAAGCAGGATGCCCTTTTCCATTGTCCTCATAAAGATCTGCAGGAAAAGAGCCCATCTTCAAACTTCTTTATTCACCTCTTCTAATATACCTCATACTGCCTAGAGGGAGAGCTCATCCTGAGCTCTCATCCGCACTGGGTGGAGCTGGAAACAACAACCACTGCTTTCCTGGATTCTGTTCCCTCTTTATGATCTTTCTGGATTCATCAGGGCTGTAACAGACAGAGCCATGGCCTCTATCTAAGCCTTATAAGTAAAGAATGGGAGTCCAGTCTTGGGAGCACCCTGCCTTGCCCTAAGGGGGTGGGAGGGGTGAACAGATAACACTGACAAAGCTATCACAGATAACACTGGTTTAAAAATATTTATGTGAGTAAACAAGAGCTGAGTGGGCAAGGGCTTTGGAAGGACAAGCAGGACCAGGAGAACATTCCAGATTGAAAGGGTGGGAAACTTGGCAGAGAACTGAGCAAGTAGAAGGGGCCTTTGTCTCATAAACAAATGACAAAAGCTGGGCATTGGGGTTAGGGACGCAGAAGCCACGCTCAGATCCATCTGGTCCCCTGGGGCAGGGGTGGTCTGTCTTCTTCCCAATGCCTCTAAAGTTTGGGCCTGATAAACCTGAACCTAGACCCATGTTAATTTGAAAAGAGATTTTTAGCAGGAAAGGGAAAAATAGTTACCTGGACAGAAAGCAATTCTGCAGAATGATGAGCTTGCATCAATGCAATCACATTCCTGCTATCTTTCTCCTCCTTCCCTCACCTTGCTATTTCTAGATGCGCATGGAAAAGGACAGGTTTTCTGTCAACTTGGATGTGAAGCACTTCTCCCCAGAGGAACTCAAGGTGAAGGTGCTGGGAGATGTGATTGAGGTGCATGGCAAGCATGAGGAGCGCCAGGTATGTAGCTTCTTTTCTGCTCATTTATTTACTCCATATGTTAGGTACTGCCACCAATCTTAGAGCCAGGCAATATTCTAGTCTCAAAACATACACAGGATTGGGTCAGGGGTTACAAATTGATGACTGGAAAATTAAATTAGGGATGAATCTGTTGTTCTTCTTGTGGATGTTTTTGTTCAGAAAAGTGGCCATAGTTGTTTCTTTTGATTACCTTGGATGGGGTGGATGAGGTATTCATTCTTCATTTAAGCAGTAGTTTTCAACCTTGGCTCCATTAGACTCATGAAAATTGTCAAAAATCCAAATGCTCAGGCATACTGCGGACCAATTAATCAGAATTTTTAGGAATATAACTTAAAGACATCAGCATTTTTTAAAGCTAGGATAAGGCAAGTGGATTGGCATGAGTTTAAGGCCACATCAAGACCCTGTCTCAAAACAAAACAAAAATAAGTATTTTTTAAAAATTAAAATATAAAAAAAAAGCTTCCTTGCTGCACATGGTGGCACTTGAGTTTGTAACTTTTCTTTTATTTATTTTTAATGGTTTAATAATTAATGTTTACTATATAATGGAATAATAAGAAGAACATGGTACAAGAAGTAAAAGAGACAGTAAAAACAGAATTAAGATATATTAACTTAGGCACTGGAAGACATTTTGAAGCAAAGCTTTGTGTATAATTTTCAGTGGTGGTCATGACATGGGAAAATTTTTCTTCTTCTGAAAGTCTCTTAACTTTCATATATAGCAATAACAAAAAATGTGAATGATTAGTTTTGCTTGTTGAGCATTTACTGGATTACCATACTGGAGCAAAGCTTGAAACTGGTCATTTTTTGTAAATGTGATTATCTTCAATACAGCATCAAACTTAGAAAATATAAAGCAATAACTTCAGTTTCTGTCACTTCACCGGGTAATTTTCGAATGTGAAGTACAGGAGAAGGAGCACCGTCCATTTTATCTTCTCCTTTAAATTTCTTGTTGTCATTGCCATTGGCTGTAACCACCATGAGGCTCGTATTAGAGTTTGGACTACTGAGAACACTGCCTGAGAGTAGTTCGTCAGATCCTCTCTTCACATCAACAGCAACCTCAGTGACAATTCTCACTCAGCAATTCTATCTTCACCCAGGCTCTCAAAGATGCAGCACGGTTCTAGCTCTTTGTAGCTCTTGGTTTGTTCCCAGAATCTGACCAAAGTGGCTAAAACGTTGGCCCTATACTATCTGCTGTTGTTTCTGCCATGGCTGTTGGCCTTTACCCATGTGACTGATGCCGATCTCAACTACTTTGTTTTTTTGATGATTTAATGTCCCAGGCTTTTTCCAAGCCTCTTGGTTGTTCTTAGGCCTCACAAAATGGCATCTTTTAATGCCTCCCGCCCCCACGACCAGACTAGGATGAAAACAAAGTAGTGTGACATCTGCCCTCCCCCTCCTCCCGCCTTCCCCGCGGCTCCCCCTCGGCTTTCCCGGCTTGGGGAGTCGGGCCGGCTCGCCGCGAACGCCGGACCCGGCGGGTCCCCAGCCCAGAAGCCCCCCCCCACATAGGGAATGGTGGCACA